GTGCAGTTTATTACTTGTGAAGATAGATAAGAGAGCTCACGTAAGTATAGTTATTTTTGTAATTGTTAGGGGGAAAATATCCTAGGTGCTGTAAGTGGAGTTTTGATTTTTAGCTTCCATAGCAACTGGAGCCTGATTTTAGATAGGAGTGTTTGTTTGGAAATTGGGTAAAGTCAGTGAATGCTTTTCGGGCAAGTAAGAGATTTTTTTTTCTTTCCTTTTTTTTCCTTTTAGCCTCAAAGAAAGGATGGGGGGAGGAAGAAGTTAAAATAAGGAAAAGTAAAATCTTGAAGTGAGTTGAGTTAGTCAAAGAAGAAATTATAGCAAGGCCGTTGTATTTCTTTTCTCCTGCTGGTGTCACTGTGGACACACAGGACCCAAAGGTGCTTTATCCAGTTAAAAAGGCCCAAAGGAAAATTGTACGCAAGACAAATGGTGCTTAGGCAAGAGAAGATCATGTTCCTGTTGAAATTTTCAAGTAAGGTCTTTAGTCTTTCCTCCTGCTTCCCACTGACACCTTCATGCAGCATTTTGTCTTTGTGACTGTTGGGAGGCTGAGTGTGGTTTTCCAAGGTAGAATGCACAGTTGCACCAGTGAATACATGGGTGTATGGGAAAATGGGTTTGTCAGAAGTACTCATTAGTAGTTTGGCTGGCTCAGTTTTGTCTGCCATTGAAGTTCTTCATCTTCCATATGGATAATGCTGCAGGGATTTGAAAGGCTCTTTTATTAGTGTTATGACACCATAATCTGCTTGGGTATTGAAGGAGGGAGTGCAGGACAAGTCCTTAAAGTGCAGAGAATTTGGGAACCCAGAAACAAGCTCCGTATTAGCTATAATGGCAGTTGTCCCTTATACTTGTAAGTCAAATGTTGTAAAGATCAGACTTCCCTGTGCTCTGTGGCTAGTTCATGCTGCTGCATTGTCCTTGTAGATCTACACTTAGTCAATTAAAAGCTACAGACTGCTGCTTCGAATCATTAAAATTATTGTGCAGTAATGGTAGTTTTATTTCTTACCTCAGTATCTGCATATGAAAGTTGCCAGTTAGGGCTATGCAAGTAGAAAGATGTTCTGGTAAGATGGAGTTCAGCCTGAGGTCACTTACCAATGGAGTGAGATTGAGAAGAAAAAGGAAATCTGTAGAGTTTTCATGGGGTACAGTTTGTTATTTTTGCACAGTTTAAAAGCATCCAAGTTAAAGCTAGGCATACCTAGGATACCACTTCAAGGAAAGTATGATTTTGTTCCTTTTTTTATTTGTAAATACCTTTTATATTTGGTTATCAACCTTCAGTCTTACTGGAGATGACTTGGCCCATTTCAGTAAAGTGGGCTCTGTCCTGTTCCTCTCTTCTTTCCATCTTCCTTTGAATTTAAAAAAATGGCTCAAAAGCTGCATGCAACATGGCGTATGTTGAAAAATCTGATGTATTCTAATAGATGCTGCTTGTCCCACTTATGTAGAGTATTCAGAGATGGGGGAAATGGGTCTTGCATGAACCAAGGATGGTGTCTTTATTCCCCCTGCCACTTTGGAAGCACTGTAGCCTGAGGAGTCCCCACGGTCACTGGGGTGCAGCAGGATGACAGCTTCAGTGTTCAAAGGGACCAGCTGCCAGAAAGAACCATCTGTTTACCAAGTAGCACCTCATGCTGGGAGTGGACGTGGAGAGTTTGTTTTCAAATCCTGTGCTGATGAGCCTTGACCTCTTGCAATCTCTGAAAAAAGTTATTTGACGGAAAATTAATTGATGGTCGAACAGCCTCCAAATATACATAAAATAGATTTCCTGAGTTTCTGGGACTGGAGATGAAGTGAGGTGAATGTAGGAGAGAATTTGAACAATTGCCAGTCTTACAGAAAATACTGCTTAGTGTGAATCTGTTTTACTGTACACAGGTGTACGTCAGCATGTAAGTAAATCAGTATGAATTTAAAATTTAGTTTTCCACTTGGCCAGATGGTTGTATCATTCCTTCTGTGGTCCTGCCTAAGCTTTTTAGATCCAAAAACTGAAAGCAATTAAAAGAAAGATGTTTCAGTGTTGATGCGGGAGTCACGGACAATGCGGAGACGATCAATGTGATCAAGCGATTGCCAAATTTATTACAAAGCCTTAACTCCTTATATACTATTTCTTGCATGTACTTACAGTGAGTTGGCATATTATGATTGGATACATGTCTTGAAGACCCTTAGTGACTAACATATAATTGGTTAAGCACAGGTGTGAGAACTTGGCCTCGAAAGCTTGCCAACAGTCCACAGTTCTCATTAACTCTGAATTCCAGCTTCTTCTTATCTTGCTTGCTTAAGCTTCTTCAGGCCTCTCATGGCCTTGCTGTATCTTTCAGGATTATTCAGAGTTTATGTACTAATTATGCATTCTCCCGTGAGAACACTGTCTCCACATCTCCCCCTTTTTGTTTTATATATGTTTTGGGAGACCCTACTTGAGCAGGGGATTTGGGCTAGATTATATCTCCAACATATGCCAACTACAGGCTGCTGGGCTTGCCCCTTTTTTCTGCTGTATGGCTCTCTGATAACAGGGGAGGCCATCCTTCACATCAAGGTCTGGCATGGCATGTGTCCCCACCGCTCCACGCCTGCCGGGTTGCAGCCAACAGCGGAGCTAAAGGTTCTTCTTGGTGGCAAACACAGAGGCCAACCCAGTCTTGCCCTTGACTGTGGTAGCAGGCATTTTGTCAGCCTCAGTCCTTGCACCTTGTTGTCAGTGCACAGTTTCACCTGCTTCATCCAGTAACAAGTCGCTACTACAGCAAGGCACACACAAATTTACATTAGCTGAGTAACTATTACAGGGTGCAGCAGCATGTTGAAGATGCTGATGGCAGCGAGGGACTAGCCAAAGAAATTTCTTACCAGTGGAATTCTCCCCCCCTCTTTAATTTGTTCCAATACCTGCTTTATAACACTACCATTGTATTAGAATCTTTCCAGCTTTTGCCTTAGCATTTTCTAGCAGCTACTGCAAATTTCCATGTTCTAACGTCTCTTTTACAAGTGACAAATCTATACAATACAAGGTGTAGTTCCTCATTAGCAACTGGCTAGTAAATACAGGTGGTTTTATACACAAAATTACAGCCTCTAATAATAGCTACTTTACAGGCACACATATTCAGGATGTTACTTTTCAGTTGCCCCCAAGTGATGTTTTGCAATCATGAGTTTTTCTCTTCCTCTATCTCATTCTGCTTGGGGTATTCACAGTCAACTCCTGTAGCTGAGGCGTCAGGTTTTTCCATTCATCTGTCCAGCTCATGGCAAGGCTTGACAAACTTTGCAGGCAGTCACCATGGACCTGTAGACAGGAGGACACAAATATAGCCCCTTCTCCAGGTTATCAGTTCTTGAGAAGCAGACAGGTTAAACTGCACATTGTTAACAGTTGAGGAGTTTGCTGCATCATTGCCTCGTTTTGTTTTTTTTGTTGTTTTTTTTTCCTGCCACCCTGATGCTGCTTAGGTGACGGCTCATAAAGCTTGTGGTTGCACTACCCCTCTCGCTTTTTTAGTTAGCAGTTCTTATTTCAACCGATCTATCTATTCCTCCAAGTCTTGGATTCACCCCCAGGTTACCTTAAACATACTAAGCAAGGTTCCTACCATGCACCCACTGTGTTGCAGGCGCTCTTTAGGCTTTGTCTGTGGCATCTCTACAAACTGCCTCAATACCTCAATAGATTGAGAGGTTGGGTTTTGTTGTTTGGCTTTTTTTGTTGTTTGTTGTTTGTTTTTGTTTTGTTTTGTTTTTTCCAAAAGCCTCTCATGGCCTTGCTGTATCTTTCAGGATTATTCAGAGTTTATGTACTAATTATGCATTCTCCCGTGAGAACACTGTCTCCACATTTCAGTGACATAGGGCACTAGTAGTGTTTCTGTGTCTCATCTTGATCCCCATGTGTGTACATTAGAGCATTCCAGCACTTTTTGTGACACAGATGGGTGATTGTGAGGAACTGAGCCCTCACCTGTGTCTGTAGTGAGGGCTCTATAACCTTCTAGTCAGAGCTGGGATTTGGAAAAGAAACCAGATAAAACAGGATTTAAACTAGAATTACCTTTTCTCACAGACACAGATAGGAGATAAATCTAATGAGATTGAAAGGGTCTTCATAGCGTAACATCATAGCATTGAAGTATATATGAAAGATTTTTCTAAGATGAAGTCTAAGAAGGAAGAAGTTAGCTTTATACCATTGGCAGGGGAGACTTTATTTTAAGATGAAGAAAGTTGAAGGGATTTGGAGTTATGCAGTCCTGTTTCTGGAGTGTGTATGGTTTTCTTTTGTCCTGGTTTGTGATTTTGATCAATCATTAAAAAAGAATAGAAGTTGTTGACTGCGCCTAAGTTTCACTGTGGGCTTCCAGGTATATAAATGAGATCCATATATGAAAGGTTTGTATGCCCACTCAAATCATACTTGTAGCTACTTCTTAATACTTGGCTAGTATATTCCAGCTCTGTACAGCATGTCAAGTTCTTACAAGTCTCCTTCATGTACTCATGCCTCTTACAAATTGGTGGGTCAATGAAAATTGCTGATTCAGGACACAGCTTAGAGCAAAGGCAGCTGCAGCAGAGCATCTGCTTCTGCAGCATGCACAGGCAGCAGTGGTGGGTGTACAAGGGAGATTCTGGCAAATATACAGGTATGTAAATGTTTCATATTTAAAAAGGCAATCAAGTACAGTTGTGGGTCTTTTCAAAACAAGTACGTGGTTCTTTCTTATCTTTATTTTGTAAAATGGATTGGAAATTAGGAAGAGAATTTGTAAAAATTACAAGTCTAAAAGTGTCATAGTGCTATGGCCCAGAATAATGCTGTGATCTTCCAGCTGATGAAAACCTCAATAGCTGATGTTAGCTTTTGCTTACTGTGTTGTAGACACTCCTTGAGTCTATGGTGGATGCAGCAGAAAACCTGTGCCCAAATGTAATGAAGAAAGCTCGCATCCGTGAAGACCTGATTGAGGCTAGCACTGAGAAGATTTCCATCCCGCGCACTTTTGTGAAAAATGTCCTCTTGGAGCAGTCTGGAATTGATATCCTCAATAAAATCAGGTACTTTAAAAGAATAACTGAACAAAATTAGTTATAGAATTTGGATCTTGGGTTGCATGTATGTGTGTGTGTAGTAGAAGATTTTTTGAATGCTTTGGTGACTCACAAGAAACTATATTAAGGCATTCAAAGAGCAGGAAATTGTCGACATGTCTGGTGAACTTTTCAAGACATTCAAATATTTGGAATCTCCAGGGATGTTGACTTAATCATTAATGCATGTGCTTCTGTTTTATTTAGTAAGAGTTTGGGCTTATGGTACACAAATAACATATTCATGACTGATACTTTTTTTTTAACTTATGTTCTCAGGTAATATTGAGCTACTGGAATAGATGAAAATTGCACTTACTTGCTTTTTATGTTAACAGTGGGCTGTCTGTTGCTGCACTTAGCCTTGTCCTGTAGCTGTAGAAATCACTTTAAAATTTTGTGTGGGAGTTGTGCACAGCAGTCAGACGTACTTAAAAAATGGAAACTTGGATATTCAAACCACAAACCTGGACAGAAACAGTTACCCCAAACAACTCTTTGTTTGCTCTTTAAAAAGGAAAGAAAAGTCTTTTACTTGACCTTTTGCTGCATCTTTCTTCGTATTAAGGAGATACCAGTTTAATGAAGTATAAGGTGGTTGACCTGTACTTAAACCTTTGCAGTTGCCATCATTTGTCTTAGGAATCCTTTCTGCTTGGTGGAAAAGCACGTAATTTTGCATTGTGATGCTAATATCTTTGCAGAAGAGGGAAAACAGTAAGACTTAGAAATTAGCTTTGCAGGGTGCAGCAAAATTGGCAGGAAAAGGTGTTAAGAACTTTAGCTATGCCTTCAGAGTGTTTCAAATGCTTCAGGGAGTGAGTTGTCTTCACTTCAGTCCTGTCAAAGAAATCTTGACCCTGAGACAGCGATAGTTCCCGTTCCACCTGTAGAAGCTGCAACTGTCAGTGGGTGCCACATTGTTACCCTTCCTGCCTTATACTATTTGAAATTATTGTGTAAGTAACTGAAGAGAAATCCCTTCACTCTCGTTCTCTTTCTGTCATGGCTTGGCCACCATTCTACGTCTCTGTGAATTGCATTGCTTTTCCAAGGAGTTTATTATCTTTTTCCCCAGCCTTTGTGCAGCAGTAGTGCTAGCTCCAGATAGATATAGCTTTGTTAATCCAATGTAACTCAGTCTACACATAAAAACTTTAGAGCAAAATGATGTTACTTACCGGTAAGTGTCAGTTGAAACAGTTGCCTTTGACACTGTAAGGGCAGGCATACATGCTTGTCAGCTGCAGCTCAGCTGCCTTCCACAGCCTGAGCGTTTTGTACTGTGGCCAACGATGGGACTCCAAGGGAACAATTCAAGGTACACATTTTCTTGGTAAGAGGTTACCAGTGAAACCTCAATTCAGGTATGGGGTGTGTGGGTGTTCCACATACATCTGTGTAATGGGAATGGCAGACATTAAGATCTTCAAACAAAGTGGTTACCTAGAGCAAAAAGAGGACGCCAAGTTATGATGGTAAGGACTGGAGAAGCAGCATTGTACAGTTGTTGTTTAACTGGCAGAGAAACACAAAAAGAAATAGAGAAAATGCCTGGATTGTAGTAGTGTTAAACAGGCAGCACTGTTCTAATCCCATTCACCTGAGGTTCACGTTTCTCTGACTCCAGAGGTGGAGTGTTCCGTGCTGCATTTCACATGTGGTTTTAATTCAGCTCTCTTACCCAGATGTTTTCATTTCAGCTTTTAGAAAAATGTGAGAAGCAGGTTAAATATGGTACAGAGGCTCTTCTGTTTATTATGTGATTCATGAGTTTATTTCTGAAACCTGCAGTCATGTAGCCTGACACCCTGTAATGTTTTACTTCAAATAAAGTGACAGCCCTGTGGATAATCATCGCACTGTTGAACGTGTAATAGAGACAAAATTCTCCTGTGTGAATTAAAATTTTCTCTGTCTCATTTTAATCTTCACACAGTGAAGTAAAGCTAACAGTGGCTTCTTTCCTGTCTGACCGAGTGGTAGATGAAATCCTGGATGCACTTTCCCATTGCCATCACAAACTGGTGAGTATTTGCATGGTTGATAGCTGAATATGCTGGGTATTTTAACAATGCCACTGACATTCATAACTTGTTCAGTTTCCCCCTAGCACAGCTCTATTTTGAAATTGTTCTTACTTTCATTGGCATCACTGACATAATTTGAAGTATGATTGTGGGGCTCCTGCCTCCTTGCTTTAAGGAAGATATAGCCTTGGGAAAGGCTGCATTATATATTTGTCCTATTATCTTTTGCACTATTGTCAGATCTAAAATAGAAGTGCCATCAGGATGTAGCATTGAGTCATTAGTTACAAACAGTGCCAGTGCTTGTTCTGGTGAGATGATAAGAGTTGGTTGCTCATGAAATGAGAGGTAAAATTTCATTCGTTAGAGAAGGGACTGCTGAGATCTTGTTCTCTGAACAAGTACATCTTGAGGCTACCTCAGAAAAATAGGTATAAAGTTGGAAGAGAAAAGAGTAGAAACATAGCAAAGGAAACACTGTTTTGTTATTTGAAGGTGCTTAGCTGTCAGAAGGCTCAGTTGTTTATTATAAAGGTTGTTGCTTCACCAAAAGTAGAAGAAATAACCAACTGTGTACCTACAGAAAAATGTTTCTACTTCTAATGTAAGTAAATTACATTTAAGGGCCTTTGTAAGGAATATCCAGTGCTTTTTTTTTAAAGAAGCTATTGGGTGGTCATCCTCCTGGTTGAAATTGCTCTTCATTTCTAATTGAAACTTGTCTGGCTTCAGCTTGCAGTCATGGATTTTTTCAGATGCTTTTCGCCACAACATAAGGGAACCATATATATTTCTCTTTATTTCTTCCCTGTGAAAATCCTCATACACAGAAAACAAATCACACTTTCTCCCCTCCCCCCTTTTTAAAGATAAAAAAAAATAAAAAATTAAATGACTGTGTTATTTGAGGGTGTGTCTTCATGATACAGAGCAGCATTGTGTAAAGTTACCACCTCTGGTCTCAGGAGCTATGCAGCAGTGGCCACGTTGATGAGCTGCAGTTAGTCCTGGAGCAGACTCAGCTGGCATGAGCAGTGGGCTGTCTCTGTCCAGTGTTATTGCACAACATGGTCATGCCCCAACTCTTGCACAGTAAGTCATTTTCTCCAGTCTTTTGAGTCACTTCAGTAAGAATCCACTGCACTTTCTCCAGCTGTTTTAAAAGCCTCTTTTAAAACTATGGTCCCAGAATCAGACAACTATTCCAATATTTTAACCAACACTATATATAGGAACAAAACTGGTTTTCTCCTGATACTCTTTACTCTTCATATTTACATAGCCAAGGAGCTAAGAGTGCCTTCCTTTTGTCAGTGTTTCAGTGGTACCTCATTTTCAAAACTGGGGTTTGCTCCCTCCCAGTAATGGTTTCTGGATGCTTGACACTTGCTGCTTTTCACGATTGTGTCCATAGCTAGTTGCCAGTGCTCTTAGTTCCTAAGGAATGATTGTCTGTGCATTCTTTTTTTGAGTTGATTTACTTTGTGATCCATTTTGGCCTGCATCAGGAACATGTCCTCTTCACTGTTTAACTCTCCTGTGTTTGTTAGCTGCAGATTATTTCAGATAGTACAGTACTATTGAAAACATTGAAGAGTAGGATTCTCAACAGATGCCGGTAGAGGAGCTCCTATCTAAATTGTCAGTGTGAGAGCTGGCAGCTAGTTCTTAATGCAAGGAAGAGTAAATGTACTGATGGAGTTCTGTGCCAGCTCCTGAAATTGGAGTGTCATATGCTAATACTTCAGCCACGTACAAATATCTGTGTATGTTACACTGGCACAGCAGTGTTTGATGTGAATTTGAAAAGTAAAACATATTCAGCAAGACTTGAGTTTGCTAATGATGATGATTAGCATTAATTATTATTTGAGCCCTTTTAGTGTGATTGAAGAGAAATCCATAAGAGCTCTCCAGTTGTTTTTTCTGAGTAGACACTAGTCTAAGTGAGCTATAATTGTCTCAGGTCATCTGTTTACTCCTTTTCATGGTTAACAAACTGCGATCCACTGGTTGTCCAGAGTCATGCTAGTGTTAAGCAGTGGACTACAGCTCTCCCTAGCTGTCTCTGAAGGTTTCTGTGATTAACTGATTTGGGCCAGCTGATCTTCAAATACTTGCTTTTAACTGATGTTATTTAATATCTTTTGTTAGCAACAGAACTAGGAAATAGTTCATCATTTTCCTGACATGTGGTTTATATAGCATTCTCTGTGCTCTTAGTAACAGTTCTTGCTATGCAGGTCTAAGAATGGATTTTATTATTGTTAAGAGTATTTCCTCTCTGATACTTAAAAAAAAAAAAATCTTATCCCTTAGATATATCAGTAAATAACTTTTTTTTTTTTTTGCTTTTTTTATGGTAGCCCTAACCTAACTCTTCCAGGAAACAAAAGTGAGGTGTTTAACAAAGCTCTCCTGTGTTTTGAATAGCAGGTGCTAACAGTTTGGCCATCTAATAATTATGAAAAGTGTATTCACTGAAATTGTACCGGTCTTTGTGTTATTTAATTAAAAAAACCAAACAAACCCACAACAAAACAAACCACAAATAAAAAAAAACCTTAACAAACAAACAGACAAAATTGTCCTGGACAAAGCTTCTCTTCCACCCCTTTGTTTTCTTTGTAATAAAGACAGAATAAATGCTGAGGAAGTCCCATAATAGTATTATAAGTCAAAAGTAGGACATCTTTTTATCTGATCTTTTTCTTTTTTCCTATTAGAATGTTATCTCTTCCCTCTTAGAATGTGTGACGGAAGGGGTTCCGTTCAAAAAAAACCCCAGAAAACCGAAACAAACCTTGTGTGAAGATTCACACACACTACTGAGATTTGCTTTTGTAATTGGCCTTTTAGGATCTGTGAATACTTAAGTTCTGTAAGCTTTCTGGTTGGGTTTGGTTTGCCTTTTTTAATAGTTTGGTTGATGTGCTCCTGTCTTTATCCTTGCCTCCAGGCTGACCATTTGACCAGACGTGGCAAACCACTTCCACAGCAGGAATCACTGGAAATTGAGTTAGCTGAAGAAAAACCAACTAAACGCTCTGTCATCACAGTTGAGGAATTAACAGAGATAGAACGTTTGGAGGACCTGGACACCTGTATGGTAAGACACATTCCTCTGCCCAGTTAAGCATGCAAATAACTGGAAAAAAATGCTTTTCCAAATGTCATTTGGCAATTTCATGTTATCAGGAAACTGAAGTTAGGAATTGTCTTGTAGAAAAAATAAATGTTAGCTTGTGAACATTGAGTTGCATGTTGCTGTTCAGCAAAGGAAAAGCTTTTCTCTTCATTTCTCCTTTTCTGGTACCTATTCAAGGGCCTATCCCTTGTCTACATTGCTGCAATCAAGCTTAATACACTAAAACCTCTCCCACTGGCCACAGTTTCACAGAGGTTTCAGTTGCAGGAATAAATTGGACCGTGCTGTCCTTTGACAACACAAATCCATGTCTTCATTCTGCTTGATGTGGATTCCTCTGAGCCATGACAAAAAATGCTTCTGCCTGGAAGTTATATTATCGACCTTGAACAGAAGTTGGCTTCTTTAAAAGTAGCTTTTGAATGTATGGAGGAAGTCTTAAAACCTTGAGACTGGGCTGCAAGTGATCCTGGAGGGCAAGCTTTTCAAAAGTAATTGATTTAAGAGTATGAGATTCAGTAAAAATGCTAAACATAAATCACTGAAGTACCTTATAAAATTCTTAAAAATTTAAAAAACTTCTGTTATAAAGATTACTCCGTATCATATAATGATTCTTTGAGATGTAAATCCACAGAATTACAAATTAATGGTTTTCTACCTGTTTCCAACCTCAGACCCCCCTCCACCCAGCTCACTCTGTTGAGGAACTCTACTGTGGACAGGAACTTCAGGGAGCACGTCTCTATTAGAAATTAGTCAGTGTAATAGATGGTGTCTGCTGCAAGGGATGGGCTTTCTCTTCTGCTTTCCTGCCTTTCCCAGGAAGCTAAACTGGCATAAAAATGGGTTGTGTCTTTTTGTAGAAGCTTTATTAATTCAATTCCCTGAGTAGACTTACTGTAAAGTCAGACGAGTACAGCTCGAGAGAAGGAACAGCAGGGTTGCTCCTTTCTGCAGCAGCTATCTTCTGTTCTCACGTAACTGTATAAAACAAAAACACACCTTCATTGGAAATACCAGATTAAAAATCATTCTCTCTCCCTTCCA